ACTTGAAGGGGGTATGGGGGTGTGGCACCCCCTCCCCCAGAGGCGAACTGTTGAACGGAAGTGTCTCAATTATTTTATTATCATATGTTCTATAGGTACCAAGACGGAGATCAGAGACTTAGAGTAAATCAGAATGAGTAAAGATACTAAGACTAGAGATAGTAAGAGATAATAAGACTAATAATACTATTTATTGATGCAACTTTTCACAAACTGAGGGAATCTAGGCTGCTTTCAAGTAGAATGGAATCAGAAAGGGGAGTGTAATTTGTCGTAGCGAAAGGCAAATCATGATAAATCATAAAAATAGTAAAGGCCCAATACGGATTCTTGTGGAACGCCGGATTTAGGGGCTGTATACATGATTGGACATGCAGGGGGCACGATTCAACAAAAATACATTATTTTTCTAGTAGTAGCCGTAACCGTGTAAACGAAAGCTAGATTGCTTTAGCATGCAGCAGTAATAATCTTCTTGAACTACGAGATCTTCTCGAAGCCGAATTAAAAATAATTCGCCTTCCACCCACAAATAGTCCGAAATTATGCAGTCTCCCATGAATGGTCACAATTTGTCAGTTTACTGTACATTGCCTTATTCTTGACGATAGAGTCTCGGAACATTTTCAAAAAAGTTCAGTATTATATAAAAGGTCAAGTCCCCCTACATTTCCGAAATTGAATTGTTTTTATTCTTTCCGAGACTAAGTTTTGAAATTATATATATGCACAGACTATGGCGCCATTGATAGTCATCTGAAGAGGTTTGCTTGTTATAACTATATTAATTAAAAGCTTTCGAGATATCAAGAAGCATTGTAAATTCCTGTAAATTGTTAAAAAAGCAGTCCGCTCATGCACATCATGGTTAGATCCACAACCAAACAAGATTGAGGGTCTTTAATGCCAAAATTAAGCTGTTTTCAGACTTTCTTTGTTGAACTAGGCAGTGTTAATTGTAACGATTCGAGGCAATGATTCGGACTCGAGTCGCTAGTTTTCAACGACTTTCAACACCAAAAATCGATTCGAGTCAGCATCACCAAATGATTCGACTCCGAGTCATGACTCGACTCGAGTCAGCATCACCAAATAACTCGACTCTGTGTCAATGACTCGGAGTTGACTAGTCATGTAGAACCTTCTTGACTATGAGATCTCTTCGGCAGCATTTGAGGTTTTTTTAACCGGCATTAAACTTTCGTTTAAGCCTAATGATTTGTTTCAATACATCAAAATCATCCAACACCGCGATCATGTAAACAGCCCCATAAACACACTTATATCACATTTGTGTCGGTTTTCTTTGATCGTCCGAGGTTTATAACTAGCTTATATATACCTTGAATAAATGATTAGATTAAACTTGTAGACAAAACGCGAGAATTTTTCATTAAAAATTTTTGAAAATGACAAAATATGTTAGAAAACCTCCACAAATGTGATATAAGTTAGTTATAAGCCTCGAAAGTCGGTTTATAACTGATATATTGCCCTCGGACGCTACGCGTCCTCGGGGGCAATATATCAGTTATAAACCTCCTACTCGGTTTATAACTCGAACTTATGCATTGACAATGTGCTTTCCGCTAGGTCGAGGTTTTGTGGTCGTGAGTTTTGACCTTTGGAGAACAACGATGATGGTGAAATCGTGTCATACATCTAATGCATGGCACGCAATTCATTTGTGCTATTGTAGATAAAGTTACTATCGCAAGGGGAAGTACTGCCGTACGGCCATATGTTCTTTATAGCTAAAAGTAAAATTTAAGGCTGCAGTTTCTTGGCACGTCTCCGTACTAGTTTGATTAATTAGTTGACCTGCACCGAAAGACTTACTGACATAACTTATATTCAGTTATGAAGATCATAGCCTATGATCGAAGGGAAGATGGCTGTGAAACTCATTTGAATAACAATATAACTCATTATCTATGTTAGTCAACGTTTATTTATAAATCTGGTTGTTTCACCGTCACGTGTGTATTGTATTTTTACCAAATCCACCAATAGCAATTTCCAGTTTCCCTTATTGTTCGAGTCACGGATAGGTGACGGACCAGATTTATGAATAAACGTTGACCAACATAGATAATGAGTTACATTGTTATTCTAATGAGTTTCACAGCCATCTTCTCTATAGGCTATGTGCAGATGCGGTGGCGTAGCCAGCTCGATAAGTGTGTGGGGGGGGGGGCATATTCATTTATTCGTGTTCTGCATTATTAATTTCTTTTGAAATTGATTGTTTTTACGGTCTGTGAATACGAATATATGTTATGTCCCCCCCCCCACTTATCGAGCTGGCTACGCCACTGTGCATATGTATTTACGTAAAAGTCCAAGTTGTGATTGGTTGGATCAGTGCCGGAATGTGTGCGAACAACGACTTAAAGCAACTTAAAATAACTCAAAGCGACGTAGCTATACCTATAAGTATATAATCATAGTGATCTCTTTCTGATACGATAACAGGTTGTTGGTTACTCCTGCCTCATGAGTTTTGTAAATTGACAATCGATAAGGATTTGACCGGCAACCAATGAGTTATTTTTACCGATCGATATTGTCGACCATGCCGTATCGACTATATGCATCAGTGCAGTTCCCATGCATAGTAAAGAGTAAACTGCCTTGTGGCGACAGTGCGTGCTAGATCTGCAAAACGACTTGTTATGATCAACTTGAATAATATAACTAACTCCCTTGCCTGCCATGCCATGGTTTAGTTGTTCAGTTAGGTTGTGGGAAACCGCTACAGTCTAGAACTCCTCGCAAGTTTACGCCAAACGACATGAAACTTGAGGTTGCAATAATTGTATATATGCAAGTAAACTCAACACAATCATGTCAAAACACATAGAGCAATTGCAGTTTGCATGCTATGATGCTATCTGATATAAAAATAATGCATACTGTCCTGCATGTGTCGACGTTATTCAGTCAATTTGTTTGTCCATAAAAAGGGGAAACATTTCAGCAATATGTATGAGTCAGAATACTATCTTTAAGTTAGCAAAAGACCAAACTTGTGCCAAAATCCTGCACATATTCACATATATGAGATATATACAAAACAATACATACTCCGAAAATTGAAAGCATTTTGAAAATTTATTTCGACGTTTCGACTAAACTATAGTCATCATCAGGAAATGAATGATGATGATATTACATAGGCTATGTAAAGTATATATAGTGAAGTAACAAGATACGATTAGTTAAATATTAATAGATTTTTAGAGGCTTTAGAGGCTTGTATTTTATCAAAATACTCAGTGGTTCCCGTAATTTATGAGATATTATCATATAGTTAAAGAAGTAAATCATAGGAAACGATCAAAGCATTAAAAATTGAATGATCAAAAAATCCTAAATCATGGAGGTAGCATGCATGTGGCATATTGAAACAAAGCATACTAGATATAAAAGATGACGCATGTGGGATTTGCAAAGGCGAGCATATTACAATGATCGACAATAATTTCTAAACAAGTAAACTACAGATAAAAGCTAAAAGAAGTAGGACGTTAAAATGCCACCTTGCCGTGTATACCAAGAAACACAGGACATTGTAGGGTCGCGGTCGTGGTAAAGAACTGCAGAACTGTAGGTGCAAATTGCTGTCGAAGCAATTAGCTGATAAAATGATTAGAGAAGATGCCCTAAGGCTAATAATGTGTTCGGGAGGACGTTCAATCGGGTTTCAACACTGCTTTCTTCCACTAACTGGACAAAAGCAACATTTATAATAATTGGTAGGTATTTTAATGAAGAAGAGCACGTTGAATTGCATTTGCAGGTATGTTAAGCATATACAGTAGTAGGATTCACAATAACCATGCATGTCGTCATCCATTTCGCCTTGCTTTAAGCCTAGTTTCCATAAGGTCGTTAGCTGTCGTTACCTGTCTTTCGGGGTCCTTGGAGTAATCTTGAAAGACCGATAACGACTGAGTGAAACAGTAAACGACAGTGTCGCTGGCAGTATTTAGGCAGTCTTCTTAACGGCGCGAAAAACAAAATGGCGGCGCTTAACAGGGAGTTTCTTCTTCAACTAAATTTGTTTATACTCCTTGCGATAAGGCGACAACAAAGAAAAAGGAAAAAACACCGCTTCTGGGTCAGAGAAATTTTTCAGAAGCGAGAAGAGCTTGGTGCGTACCATAGCTAGTCCTAGAACTTCGTCTGCACGACAGAGAATACTTCTTCAGGTTCGTACTTTTATCTTTTATCGTACGTTTCGTCAGAATAGTCAATAACCCCATCTGAATTCCGCCATTTTGAATTGGGAACTGAAGCAATTCATGGGAAGAATCGTGTCGTTTCCAGTCGTTTTATGTCGTTGAGATAGGATTTGTTCTATCCCAGCGACACTGTCGTTTTCTGTTTCTCTCAGTCGTTATCGTTCTTTCAAGATTACTCCAAAGACGCCGAAAGACAGGTAACGACAGCTAACGACCTTATGGAAACTAGGCTTTACCGCGTAGCTATATTTTACATCATTAAAACTGTATGCAAATAATTCAGAGTTTACAACTGCGTTCAAACAACTGTGTGCGCTATATTTTACAATAGCTATAGAAAGTAAAGACATCGTGGAGACAAATAATTATCATATGGCCAACACGGCAAGAGGATCAGCATCCAATAAGAATCGGCCAACTTTGCCTATAGGTTAAATATAGGATAATGCATGAGCATTATTTTTAAGAAGGCCGAGGAGTTCGTGCATATTATCCAATTTAATATTTTCATTGAGGCACAAAAGGGGGTTATTATTTTAAGAATAATGACCTCCAGTTCCACCTAATTGACCGCAATAATGACTTGCTAGTGACCGTTGTTAGTCGCTTATTAAAAATAAGAACTTGTTCAAAACAATGAAAATATGCATTAAGTCACGATAATGATATTAATGAGGCTTTACGTTCGCTTATATGCTTCCATGCAGGTCAACTATTAAGACTTAGCCTACTTAAGTTTGCTAATCGTTTTAGTTCTACATCACTGCTTTCGAGCTAAAAGGACTCACTGTTAAAAGGACTCTTAGTGTCCACGAAAAAACGACTTTCGATATTAATGTAACGTTAAGGGTGCCGTTTAAAGCCATTAATGGTGGTATCTCATCACATCAGAATATCTTATTGGTCGAAAGTTTAGATCATATATAATAGTTCGAAATTTGACTGTTTACAGCTGACATAAACAATTCTCAGCGGGCAATGTAATACGTCAGTGGACCGGTAACAACACTAAAACAAAATTACCCTGGTTCCAGAGGCTCTTCGCGAGGCGAAATCTTTGCGCAAAACTGATCAAAACTGAACCGAAAATGCAAGACTTGCTTTAATTGTTTTCCTTTAATTTCTTTCTGTATTATTTACTATTATGGAACTCATGTTATTTACACTGTGCTAGATCAATACATATAAACACTGACAGAAAACAATTAAAGCAAGTCTTGCATTTTCGGTTCAGTTTTGAACCGAGATTTTCCGAAGTTGACAAGTAGTCTCTCTTTCTCGCTCCGCCTCTCCTGCTACGTCATGTAATGTACACTATAGTGGATCGATATGACAATGAAAGAAAGAGACTTGGAGCAAGTCTATCTTCATCGAGGTTCAATGTATTTTTAACACTGTGATAGGACACTTCAGGCGAACTAGCAGCTTAACTGAACCTGACAATCTCACATGCAGTACATCCAAAATATTTCTCCCATTAAATTGGCCAAAAACATTAATGTTTTTCTTGTTCGCATTTACTCGACTATGTTCATCTATACTATAAATCAGCATCAAGAAAGTTTTGCAAATTTTTGCTGACCTCAGCAATAAACGCAGACCTCCTACTTAAAGAGTCCTGGTCAACCACAATGCAATGCGCGCATTTGTTTACAGTTTTCCGTTACTTTTATAAATTGTTGCCGCCATTTTCGAGGCCACACAAAATGGCTGCCTCTGGCGCACAACGTAACAGAAACGTAAACAAACGCACGCATTGCATTGTGGTTGACCAGGACTCTTGAGTGTCAATCATATGTTCCCATGTGACCAGAATTCTTCAATCAGAAAGCTTCGTTCGTGGGCGAACGAAGTCTCCGAAAATTATTAGGCATGGCGGAGGCGTTTATTATTACAGAAAGGCTATAGGCTGCGAACAGGCGTTTATTCTCATGAATAAACGCCTGTTCGCAGGCTAGCCTTTCTGTGCTGCACAGGTCCATTCGTGAATAATTAACACTTATTGACTTCGACGTTCGGGAAACCATGTTTTGTGGACGAACAGTGGGCTCGAGACGGCCATGCCAAGGGAAGCCGAGGAAAACATTGGCAGTCGAGGGTTTATAAAACATATACTCTTTCCCGAAAGTCCCAGTCAATATAAGTATTCATTATAATTATATAGGCTACCAAGTGTTAAAGAAAAAAACAAAAACAAATGGCAAACGTCCAAAAACGTTGCTTTACAATTCACCGGTGAATAAAAGTAACAGTATCCACCGCTCAGAGCTGTTGGCAGGAGACATTAGAATTTCGTAACTTTCACGTGATTCGCTTTCGTCCAATGAGATGCAAGAAAACATGAACTCTGTCTGACACATGGTGTATATAAAAACTTTTCTCTCTTGTGGATCAAAGTTAAACTACAACTGAAAAATTTAATACTACCATCAATATAAAGGTACATGTGATTAAAGTGGGGCTAAATAGGATTTAGTTATTTTGTATGCAACACGGACGCGAATGTTGTAAATGGCTTGTGAAACGTCTTGATAAGAACATTCGTATTCTTCAACAATTTAAAATAAACGAATAATATTTGGTTAGAAAATTGAACTTAAAGTGTATGTAAATCAGCATGATTCTGTATCGGATATACAAACTCCTTCACGGTCATGATTTATTTTGTGCTTTCTTCATGAATTATTAATGATTTCACAAGGTTTAGTACATGTTTTCGAAAAGTACGTCATCTTGGTTAAATTATACAGACTCGTTTCGATTGAGATATTGGGCTTCAACACTGATCTCGAAACTACGGCTAGATAGTGCATCCACAATGCATAAATGAAGCCAATAGCGGCCATATTGATTTGACCACCACAACGGATTATTGGACTTCGTTAATATTTTACATAATGTATTATGTATATGTATAAAGAGCACCTCCTCGAAAAGCACATTTCGGTGAACGAGCTTTCCTCTTAAAATATTCATTAATAAAAAAAAATCTACTGTGGTGCTACTGACTAGTGATAGAAGAGGTTCTCGTTGCATGTTGTTGGGAAAGGACACGTATTGTCTAGAAAGAAATTGATCAACAGCCGTCCTGCCTTTGGCCTCAAAACTGCAAGAGGTGTGGGAAGCTACATCTTTCAAGGTACACAGAAAAAGACATTTCCTTGATACTTAAACTAATTTAAACACCTAACATTCGACAGGTGAATAATTTAATAGATTTAAAATTCTCTTTTCATTTTAATTATTCAGGCTTGAAAATTGGCTGGTTGAATTCAAAAGGATATGTACTCTGTGGAGTCCTAAATTTCATATCAGTGGGGAGAGGGGGGGGGAGGGGGGTGAATAGGGGTATACAAATCCGCCGATTTGAAGCAAATCCGCGATCCGAGCCAAAATTTTATCTTCCGAGCCAAAATATTATATAAATCCGCGATCTGCTGTATTAATAAGATCCGAAATCCGTGTAAAACATTCGCCAGATCCGAAATCCGGACAATTTTTTCTGTGAAATCCGAAGATCCGAAAACCTATTCAGCCCCCCCCC